TTGAAAATTCAATAAAAATACCGCAAGCAATACCGCAAGACTTTTTTGACAATCTAATATAATATAAAAATGCACTTCCATTTTGTATGGTTTTTCAAATAAAAACGAGTTTTCACTTAAAAGCTTCGTTTTATTCCAATTCGATGTAAAAGGTTAACACATGAAACTTATAACCTCTTCAACATAAAAATGCTATATTTGTTCCAAATTCACMAGGAATGCGTATTCTTATTCGTACCGAAATCTTAAATACTGTATAGCAACAATTTATGAAAAAATGTTGCCTACATTTCGGCGCATTTATAATATGCGGAGAATAATAATTTCGAACTGGAACAAATATTTTTTTAGGGCTGAAACAAAATGTATATTCCATATAAAGTCAGGCTGATAATATTATCCGGTATCTGCTGATAGTAGGTTCGTTCTCGTTGGTCGTTTAAACACATTGCATGCCTTAATCTGTTGCTGAAGTTGATATGACCGCATTCCACCAGTATTGGATCGCAATCATATAACGAAATATATATGTATATGCAGGAATGCCTGTGTTGGTGTATAATTCTCTAATTAAACGCAATGAAGTGAGAGCCATGCCGAATGAAAAGCGGATGAAAAAGAAACTTCACTTCAATTACAATTTGTCACATTGGCCTGTAACGTTTGATGTGCAGACTCCGCTGATTATACGTCGAACAGCAGTCTGAACTTCCAGTCCRCAAGGATATCCTTACAATTCGCATCACGTTCCTTGGTGGAATCAACGCCTTGCATTGAACAAGGCGGCGAAGTTGAATCGCAGCTGGAATGTAAGTGGAATTTTTTTATTAGTCCTTACTCCCCTTCCTCTCTTCTTATTTACCTTATGTGCTCGCTTAATTCCCAAAGAAAAACGCTGTTGTTTTGCCTTTCAGAATTTTTATTATGATCATTAAAAGGAATACGTTAGTATAGTAGAAATGCATGTCGCACAACTCCACCAATCCACCGACCCTATGTTGGTAGTGACTGTACAATGGCTTAAAGGCCAATGACCACGTGGCCCAAAATGGCACAACAGAATGCAATGAACCGAACAAAGTGAACTGGGTGATCCGTGAGGCGATGCAATAACAGATTTCCCCCTTCAGTGCCATCATATCACACGGAGGGCAGACTGTCGTACGAATATCTCAGTGCAGGGCGCTCTTTTGCTAGACTCAAGTTTTCTTTATTGATTTTATATTTATTGTGTTGACTGAATGTGCGTTGCTAAGGCAAAGCGGTGTTGCTCTTTTAAATCACAACCTTTATTTTCCATCGCAAAGGTCACCAATTCATTTGTGCGTGCGCTCCATTTATYCTTCACCGCAAAATGTGGAAAAATGTTCATTGAAGCCTCCAAATRTTTGACTTGGCTGTGAGGTCAGAAAGAATTCAGAAGAATTTGGYACTAGAACGTTGATTATATACTATTATAGTTTAGCTACAACTAAATTCCTTAATTAAGGTTAGGGAGGCCCCTAAAACGTAGAAGAGCGCAAACATCTCCGGTAAATTTTGAACTTGTGGTTATCCTTTGAATGGAGTTTGGTATTTCATCTACTTTGTGAGAAGGAAATCAAACAGTATTTGCCTCAAGTATTTTACATAAAATGGTTGGTAACTTTTAGTGATGAAAACGGATCTACAGGGATGAAAAAAATACYCAGAAGCCAAAATTATATGAAATTCCTTTACCTTTGCCTTTTCTTTGAAGTTTCTGTTGCCATTCACACTTGCAAGAATGTCACCTTCCTTGACATTTGATAAACTTGAACCCATAAATTCGGTATTGATTTTACGGTAAACAGATTCATAAAACTACAGAGGCTTTTCGAGATTTTCAAACGCAGATCAGCGAATTGGCGTTCAAATTTATGCGACCGCCTCTACATCAGATAAAATATAACAGCGTTGTGATAATCTCTGAAAGTGGAAAGCGGAAAGGCAATACAAGACCATTGCAGCATGCATACTTTCAGGCGTTTAGCACTGAAGAGCCGCCCATACCGCACAGCTGTGTCGAAGAGGTGCCACTGTGAACACGCCGTGCCGCTAATCCTGTCGCCAATTTGCGGTGCACGTGCACAAGTGCGAAAAACACGAAAAGCACGAACCAGTGAGCAAGCGAGCCATTGATGGAAATCGCGCCCAAAACTATGCAACTTAAACTAAGCTACAAATGTCTTCACATATAAGCCTATACAGCCTGGCGTTTCCGAGGTGGTGGCGCAAGCACAAGAAAACTTAATGCGCACTGAGGGCAAATTACTAAAAATAAAGGCATAAAAGAAGAGAGAGCAAAATAAGACAGTGTTAACTACAGAAACAACAACAAAAGCGCCCATTTATGTTAGTTGAGTGTTGCGACACAAAAAAAATGCACAACAAAAGGCAACAATGCSGATACGTATACCTGGTAAAGCGAGAGGGTAAGCGTGCGTTCTTTATTCTAGCATTCTGGGGGCTGGCAGCGTTTCCTTTCTGTCTCGTCTGGTTTGCTGCACTTTGCAATTGTGCTTTCCTTTCACTKCTCCCACCATTCATCAACCAAATTAGGTCGAAAATTGGCATTGGCCGCATTGCCATCGTCAAAGTGCCACCGGATGAGTGGTCAGAAAGGAAAGTGATTTGAGCAATGCATGAATGAGGYACGAAAAACGCTGTTAAAACGCCGATGAACTGCGGTCACTTCAACGAGGGGCGGCGGGTGGACAATGGTAAGTGCTTAGGTATTCCGGTGGGGGAGAGCTAAGAATTGTATTTTTAGACCTTCAAATGCAATGTTTATGTATGTATGTTGCATGCAGTGCCGTTATGASGTCATCGCATTGTCGAAATGAAAATAAAGAGAGGGAGAATACTAATTTCTTCAATTGTCCAATTAAGTTTATTGTTCGGAAGATTGATTTTCAGCCGGATAAATTTGTAGATTTATACCCTTTTTTGCAGAAATAGAAGTTGAAGCAAAAAAATTAAACAAATATTAAATTTGTAGATATCTGCAAAKACCGTTATAAACTATAGTAATCTATTCTAAGAAGGTCACGAACAAACTTCTAGATGGAGAAGAAGCTGGGCGTTTTGGRTTTCCGGGTTGTTAATTCCACCAACATCGTGGGTTTGCTCCTGGGGAAGCTGTTGGATTGAGGATGGTGAGRCTACATTTTTTTCGCCTTTGTTATTAGCTTTTCTTCCATATTGCAAAAGTATSTTTCCACCACGTTTTCAGCAGAGCCACAGGGCACCCCAGTATGCCAGCTGTATTTTTTTGCACTGCCGTGTTGAGAGCAATGAAAAATGTGCACATAATTGCCGGGGGCAAGTATGCACCGTATGTTTCGCAGTCGAGGCTCATAAAATTGCTAAAGATTAATGACCAGTCTGCATTTAAGCGACATAAGTTGAGGTTAAATCGAAGTGTTTTATTACCCTGCAGAGGTGACTCTGAACATTTCAAACTRGCGAGAATGGGAAAGTRATGCCAAGGCACCATTGTTTGCCACTTCGGCATTAAATGGTCATAAAATTCGACCTGAGCGATAATGTTATGCAAATATCCTTTGAAAGCGAGGACGCTAACGGTGGGTAAGGTGCTCAATGTGCCTGTTCGTACAGCGATGGTTAGGTACTTGTCCATGTGGACAGTAAGTTGCGAAGATTTGAACACTTATCCATGTTATGTAAGCTGACAAATGGCCCTAAAAGCAGACATCAATGCTCAACAGCGAGCCGAGGGCGAAAGGTGGTCGTAAACGCAGTGACCGAAAGCAGGGGCAGAGGCATGAACAGGAAGTGAGGGGGCCCTGGTGCGGCCAGCAGCCGCATAGCACATTTTTGACAGGCCGGTGACAACTG